TATGGGAACCAATACAAACATTACACATCGAGTCACAATATAGGAACCAATACAAACATTACACATCCGAGTCACAATATGGAACCAATACAAACATTACACATCGAGTCACAATATGGAACCAATACAAACATTACACATCGAGTCACAATATAGTAACCAATACAAACATTACACATCGAGTCACAATATAGGAACCAATACAAACATTACACATCGAGTCACAATATAGTAACCAATACAAACATTACACATCGAGTCACAACATGGGAACCAATACAAACATTAAACATCGAGTCACAATATGGGATTTAATTTTAGTTGCCTGTGTTGGTTATAAAAGTTTCAGAGATCAGTTACTATCTCCCGTGTTCATAATAAAATCCTCATACACAAATAACATCACCTGTATTCATAATAAAATCCTCAGACACTATCAGGGTTTTATATATGTGGGCTGGGATTTTTTTACAGTAGGTGTCTGTGATTTGCTGGTGATAAATTCGAACAATAAATTGACAGCACACAATCCACTTGTTTTAAAATAATATATATTCAAAACAAGTCAAACATATGTACAAAAATTCTTTATACAATGGGATTTCACAGTTCTATCTAAAACTCTAAATAATTCTATTTTCTTGTCAAAAGTCCACACAGGCTAATTAAATTACTTTAGAATCTAACTGACAAGACAAATTATTTTTCTGTACTCTGTTTCTTACTATACAATCTGTGATAACTTCACTTATGTTACCACAGCGGTATCCAGAACTTTAAATAATTGTCTCCTTTTCGTCAAAGTCCACACAGGCTGGTTCAATTACTTTATAACACCCTTTGACAAGACAAATTATTCTCCTTATCTCAGTTAAACTGTGGAACTTACTTCAAAATATTACCCATTATGGCTAAACTAACAATCACGCAATCTCACTTCACTTTCATTAACCTCACTTTTTCTGACATAACGTCTTTTGTTGGTTACCATAGTTGTATCCAGAGCTTTAAATAATTGTCTCTTTTTTTTTCGTAAAAAGTCCAAATAGGTTGGTTCAGTTACTTTAGAACCCAATTGACAAGACAAATTATTTTTCCTATCTCTGTTGTTACAATACAGCTGTGAAACACACTATAGAAATCACCCATTAAGGCTAATTACTCACACACACTGGCTAACTTCACATTTTTCTTTGACTGAACCTTAACTTGTATTTGCTTGTTTGGCTATATATCTACATTGTCTGACTGAGGCCTATAAATTTCTAAAAACTACAAGACACTATGATGTAACAATACTCACTTAAGGCAACGAGAAAAATACAGAAGGTTCGACTAATATGATGTCAATTCACAACAACTGAACTACACGCACAATGTACAATTCTTACCAAGTTACACAACGAAATTCGACATAACTATTGCTTTTAAAATAATTACTTTTAACATTCTTGCCATAAAAACTAAATAATTATTAAATATAAAAATCACTAAATGAAATAAATAATAACTCTTACACTAAACAATCTTGTATGTCCAGGCAAAACATCACCTATGTTCATATTAAAACCCTCAGACACAACATCACTTGTGTTCATAACAAAACCCTCAGACACAAATAACATCCGATGTTAGTAATAAAACCCTCAGACACAAATAACATTCCGTGTTAGTAATGAACCCTCAGACTCAAATAACATCACCTGTGTTTGTAATAAAACCCTCAGACACAAATAACATCCCGTGTTCATAATAAAACCCTCAGACACAAATAACATCACCTGTGTTAGTAATAAAACTCTCAGACACAAATAACATCACCCGTGTTTGTAATAAAACCCTCAGACACAAATAACATCACCTGTATTTGTAATAAAACCATCAGACACAAATAACATCACCTGTGTTTGTAATAAAACCCTCAGACACAAATAACATCTCCTGTGTTTATAATAAAACTTTCCAACCAAAGAAACATTGTTTGTATTTGTAATAAAAGCCTCAGATGCCAGTAACATCACAAGCCACAATTATGAACTTATAAGAAGTACAAAGTAAACAAAACTTGTGATGTGTAAATGTGGAACACCATCGAGTAAGGATTTAAAAGCCACTTCTTACTGGGCATCCAAGTAGTTTGAGAAATGTTACAAAGATAATGAAAACAGTGAAACCTAGTTTAAATACATTTCTTTTTCTCCTCTATCTTCATAAAAATGTCAGTTTATATGCCTTGATAGGCTGATATTCAGTAACTACTACAAGCATATCATCAGTAAAAAAATTAACATTACAGTATGCGCACCACACAAAAGCATATCCATGTTTTCTTGTACTGCAGACATTAGAAGCTATCGTTTGTGTTAGTTGAGGTGTATCACTTAAGAAGAAAAACAATTATGATGATGGAAATATGTATGTGTGCATTTTAGCCTAAATAGATTTTAGTTTTATTTATAACATAATATAAATGCATGTAGATACGATATTCTTTCAAATTTGAGCATGAGCAAGATATAAAAGTTGACAAAAGGGGAGTGCAGTTTGATTTTGAAACAGCAGTCCTTCTGGACCTTAGAACAACCACTTGGAAAATAAAATAAATTATTCAAAAAAGCTCATTCCACGGCAACTACACATGTTAATACTGAACAATTATATACACATTATGTATGAATGCATGAAAAGCCTTAAACAGTCCACATAAATAATTTTAGTGTAAATTTCTCTAGGCTCCATATTCCTTTACTATTTTTCATTTTCGGTACATACTACCGAGCTTATATTAATCTGTAATGTATCTCTTAGTGATAGTTTTTAATTATTTCTAAATGTTTTTTTTTGTTATTACAATAACATATGGATCACTTCAGTTTAACGGCAAGGATTCTTTAATTGTTAGCTACATGTTTATTACCTCAGATTTTATTCCACTTAAAATTATACTATATTGGATTTCTAATGCTACATACATCTTAAACATTTATTAACTGATTATTTGGGCATATTTTTAAGTTGTTTTTTTTCGTTATCAAATTTGTTTTAGACACTAACTGCCATGTTACTAAGTGTTCATAAAATTATGCAGCAAGAGTTGATGGTGGACAAGCAAGATTGTTCTTTTCAAAAGACAGATCACTATGAAACCCACCTTCTCGATTCACGAGCAACAAAAGCTTTTGGGTGAATACGGCGGCTTCAGGTTGCTTGCCGAGTGTAAGGAGAATGAGGTTGTCCTCAGCTTTCTCAAGATGAAGGTTGAAGGCAAGTAGAACTGCCAGCAACATGTCAGCCATTTCTTCATCCACTGAACCATCCACACACGAAAAAACAAACTTGCAGAAGCCTTCATTGATATAGCCTTTTTTATTAAGAAAAATAATAATAGTAGAATAAAAATTCCATTTTTTAGAAGAATAAGAATAAATTATACACATACAAGGAGTCAATTTTGTGTCTCTTGCTCTTTTTTTATGCAACAAAAATACAGGCTTTCATGACAACTTCCTTGTTATGCATGGTTACTATACAATCACCTGTCTTGGAAAAACTAGTCAATTATCACAAGTTAAAACACTAAACAATTATCTTAATGCTACTACATTCAGCAACAGGGTACAAAATTTTGAAATCTGGAATGTAAAAGCATACTATAACTGTGTGGAAATGAAACTGTGAAAAAATATGACAAAGCTGTTTCAGGAGACTTTATAATCTTGATGCAATGTGATACATAATAGATTCTAACAGACTAAAAAAGAATTACAGAAATAAGCCCAAAGTTCACAAATATTTGTTGTTTGGAAACACCTCTAAAAGCAAGAATACAAATAAATAAATTATATGAAATTTACTAAAGAAGTAAGCTTGATATTTCTGAAGACCTTTAGTTTTTGAATATCTAAAATATAATTTGTTGAATAGTACAACATTGAATCTTTCACCACAGACTGGATTTCAAGAAGGTTTATTTACTATAAATTACCTTTATATTTTTATTAGCTCTACTTGGAAACCCAATACATAAACCTCAATAAATCATTAATTTTAAGCAATACTTTTAATTTTCTGCAAAATTATTGTTTGTTTGGAATTAAGCACAAAGCTGCACAATGGGCTATCTGTGCTCTCCCCACCGTGGGTATAGAAACCCAGTTTTTGACATTGTAAGTCTGGAGACATACTGCTGTGCCACTGGGAAGCACAAAATTATTAAGATGTTTTACCTACGTAAATTTACAATAAACTTCAAGGACACTTATTT